ACAAAGGCCCTGCACCAGGCAGTTGGAAAAATTTTTTCCTTCCATATCTTATTATAAAGAGCAAGAAGGACTACTAGAGATTCATAGGGCAGGTGCTTTTTCATCAAATAACTTATGCCATCAGGACCAGGGCAAGTCCTATCAGTGCGAGATATTACACTTCTTAATTCAAACATGGTGAGATCTTTATTATAAGATTCTGTATTAGGATGGGAAAAGTCAATTTGAATCCTTTCCAAGTGCATCTTTGTGAACAGAAACTCTTTTGAGTAATTGCTACTGCCAGATACAGCAGCAAATCTATCACCTAAAGCATTGGCTATTTCTTCTCTAGTGCTTATCAACTTTCCATCTTTTTCTAGAACAAAAAAGGAATAATCGTTATATAAGTCCAGTGGCTTTGCGGGCTCTTTCCCAAACCTGTTTGCTAGACAATGAGGAGGTAACAGTGGACACGTAGGCTGCCCATGATTTTCTCTGACTTTGCCGCCTCACTTTTCTTGCATTCACCTTAGCTTTTTTAAAGGCAAGAAGAATTTCCAGTGTTGGATATGGGCGAAAGATACGCCAAGCTTTCTTTTGCTTTCTCGAAGTTTCATGACAATCACTGTTCCACCAGGGTTTAGTTTAGGGAACTTTGTCGAGGACTTCAGAATAGAGTTCAGCTGCTTGTACAATAGTATCCGAAATCATTTTTACTGCTATATTAATGTCCACACTGTTTACAATTTTTTCAGTCAGCACAGCACAAGATGCAAAAAGATCCCAATCAGCTTTATCGTAAAGTAAGCGTGGTTGTCTTGAGATCTTTGATTTTCCTGTAACAATGACTGAGAAGTGGTCAGTATCGTAGAGATTCTCCCCTACACTGAAAGAGCAGAAAAGGTAGTAGAGATGGAGAACAAAAAACCAGATCTATTGCATGAAATGTTCTAGTCGGCTGATGAAAGTAAGTGTATTCTCCATTATTAAGGAGACAAATAGAATCTTCTATTAATTGTTCGATCTGCCGGCCCCTTGAATTAGTGTACCTACTTCTTACTGAAGTCACCTAAAAGCAAAAAAGGTTCTGGGAGCTGCTCTATTATTCTGTCCAACTCTCGCTGATCAACATGCTCATGTGAGAGTAAATAAATGGTGCATACAGAGATTGAAAAATTTAAATTAATCTGAACTGCCACAGCTTGAAGGGAGGTCGTCAAAGGGAGAGCTATGTATGGGTGATTGTGGGAGGCAATAAGGCCCACACCACCACAGGCACAATCCCCAGATAGGTTGTCGTTTCTTACTGTGGTATATATCCGTATCTTAGCATGTCTGCTTGGTTTTAACAAGGTCTTCTCAAGCGCAAGGCAGGCAGGTTGACGCATGTTTATCAAATCTCTGATGTTATCCAGGTTTTGACGAAAACCCCAGCAATTCCACGAAATAAACGTACCCATTGTTGATGCTTTTTTTTTTGGCGGTGTTGTTGTTTTGACTTTCGAGGCAAAAGGAGTTTCGGAAGGGATAACCCTTCTTCAACATCCATTTCGTCTGAGTCGTCTAGGCGTCCTGAACTCATGCTTGCAATGGAACTTTGGGGGTCCTGGGTTTTTGCTTATTTTTCTCTTTGATACCATCTCCATAATTGTTCCGTGGGACATCCTGTTTTCCTTTGGGCGCAGTTACCGGCGTACTACTTTCAACATCAGGGTTTTTCCCTGATTTTTAGTTTCTAGGATCTTCTGTCATTGTTAGCTCTTTTTTCTGTGCGGTTATTGTGGTTTGCGTTGATATTGATCTGAATGATTTTGTTGTGGATGCATAAGATTTATTAGGTCTTGGATGATTGGAGAGAACAAGTCTTTTGGCTTCTGCAAATGATATCTTTTATGTAACTTTAATGTTTTTAATTCGTTTTTCTGTCTGCATTTCGGACATGATCTTGAAAAAGCTGAATGCTCACCTTTACAGTTTATACACAAGGGGGCAGCAGAACAGCCCTCACTACCATAGCCTACGATGGAACATCGAGCGCATGTGAGGCTACTGCGACAAGAGGTCTTTCCATATCCAAAGCGCTGACATTGAAAGCAATGCATTGGATTCGGTATATATGGCCTGACTGAACAGTTTAGGTATCCAGCTTTGATGTTTTTAGGCAAGTTAGGAGACTTGAAAGTAAGTATGACATGTTTAATGGGAATGAGTTGACCTTCTTTCCGTATTTTGATTCTACGAGCACCACACACATTTTGATCTGTCAACTCTTTAACAAATTCCTCTTCAGTTACTGACAGTAAGTCTATTTCAGAGATTACTCCTCGGGACGAATTTAGAGTGTTAAGTGGCTTGACTGCAATGCTTCTTTGTCCTATTTAGTTAGTTTCAAAAGACTATTAAGACTGCTTTCTGAACACAGTTTCTATTAAAAAGGTCTCCAGACCAAAGTCTCTTAATGTTTTTCAGTTCTCCTACAGAAGACAAAAGACTTTTATTAGAAAGGGTGACATTTTTTTTCAATTCTTCAGAGCTGGTTATAATTAAGAAATGTGGACAAAGTACATATGATACAGTGCTTTATATGTTGCTTCTTAGTCTTTTGGTCACAGTCGGAGTATTAAGTACATTGTTGGAGCAGGAAGGTATCATAGCATTCATATTTAAATGGAGAAAGATTCGGATCTGACCACCCCACCCACCATGGAGCCCAACAAGGGGATGCAGATTCCTATGCCACGGCTAGCCGGACCTATACGCAAACTGAAGTCCCACAGTCGGCTTTCCCAAAAGCAGGTACTCCCAACAGCTTGTCCCCAAGCCACTGACAAAAGGACTAGTGCCCAGCCAATTGACACCTGTGAGGACGAGAAGGTGCCTCCCATTTAACTGAAGCAGACGTCAAAGCAGTGTGTTGGGGACAATACCTCGCCCCTCAACTACCAGTACCCTCCTTTCCAGTGACATGGGTCTCCACGCACAGCAAACTAGCAGGCAGTTTTCTTGCCACTCGAAGAACTAGGGACAAGACTGTTCCAGTTTCTTATGATGAGCCCGAACCTCGGAAGAGGAAATGACACGGGAGAAAAAAAACGGGAAAAGTTGCAGTTAAGGGGAGAGGAGGCAGAAAGGAGGAAAGATCACTGGGGCTCCAGGATTGTGACATTTGATCACCGAGACGGTAATCCCCTGAATGATCTTCACTGCTATGCTTTAGCTGGGCATGTTGGAACGGCCTTCCCGCCTAGAGTGGCCCTACCAGGAGCTATGCTCTCGACGTATTTCGCCCGTTCCACCCAGTGACACCCCCCGCCACATTGAGGCAGCATAGCAGGACTTGGGGGGGGGACACAAAGGGATTTTTTTTTTTAACGTTTTGCACGTTACCTTTACAGAAAGTGTTCACACATTATTGTAATGATTTTGCAAAGGTTTATATGAGGGTTGGAACTTTAATAGTGGCAACACAGCTGAAAAAACGCTACGTAACAAAACCAAAGAATATTGCGTATACCACACGTGAACTACATACCTACCTTACCTCTCAGCAAAAAGACTCGTCCTGCCTACGTCACACGCATGCGGAGTGACGCGAAGAACGGATCCTTGTATTAGCTCGCGGTCTAAAGTAAGTGTTGTCAGGATGTTTTCAAAACAAGAACAACGATGTTGGATAAAAATTAATTGTGCCAGAGGTCGTACAGCACGACAGTGTCATCAGGGGCTTCAAGAGGCTTGCGGGGAATCTGCATTGCCTTACAGAACCCTAGCAAGATGGGTGAAAGCATTCAATGAAGGACGCCAAAACGTGGCAGACATGCTGCGGCCAGGTCGTCCGAGTGTCAGCGATGCAGACGTGCAAGCTGTTGACGCACTAGTGGACAGTGATTGCCGCCAAACGGTTCATCAGCTGGCTGGACAAACAGGATTAGCGCATATGACTGTGTTGCACATTCTGAAGGAATGCCTGTCCATAAGAAAAATTGCTTCACGATGGGTTCCACATCACTTGACGGAAATGCAGAAATGGCTACGATACAATGCTGCCAGAACCCACCTGGAGCGCTATGAGCGCAAAGGAGATGCTTTTTTACGCCGTATCATTACGCTGGATGAGACTTCGGCCCGATCGTACCAGCCAGACCTGAAACGCCAATCAAACGAATGGCGTCATCACGGGTCAAATTCAAATAGTGGTAGACAATGCTATGCTAATGTTTATAAAGCCATTTTACAATGCCCTAATTTCTTACAGCAGCAGATCTTTTCCTCAGAAAAGAAGCAAAGTAGCTACACATTTAAGAAAGAAAATTACTAGATTGGTGTTCATTTTTTCCAATGACATTATCACACAGCTACCAGTGATGCAATAAAAATAGGCTATCACATTTAGCACCTTGTTAACAGAAAAGAGTAGGAAATTATTAAAAATTTTTAAAAAATCTGAAAGCCTTAAGATTTTATATTATGCCCAAAAAAGTCCCCCCCTATTTTGTGTGTCATCTTTTATTTATTAAATATCATGTTCTTCGCACTTAAAACACAAAAAATTCAAGCCAACAACAATATCACGAAATATTTCAAAACAGCATTATCTTTAGAATTTTCGATACACAGTCTTACAAACTGGAGATAAAAAAGCTTTTTTCTGTACAGTGTTGCCATTGCTTGCTTTGAAATCATTCCATTTGTTAATCAAAAATTCGTTACAGTTTTACAAAATTTTAAATAGATAATAAAATTGGGTCATCTAAGTGCCCATGTTGAGGTTAGAGGATTACATTATTTAAAAGTTGATGGCTCTATTTACCATTGTTTCTTCACAATGCGAGAAACAGTCATGAAGATTCACTGTTATTTAATTTTTTTAAATATAATACATCACAATAATATTTTGTGGCAACATTTTGAAAAGTGAATCTATCAAATTGACGCAAAATGCTGTTTTGAAACTAATAGCCTTTCAGGGCTAACACCCTTTGAGTTAATAATACTGATAATAACCTTATTTTTCTTACCATCATATTTTGCAACACTATCTTCAGCACCATCTTTCTTAGCTTCTGAAGGTACCCATCTGTAATAAAATTTTAAGATATGCTGAAATATTATTCTGAAGACACATAAATAATGTATTTGATTCTTCAGCCACACAATTGAGATATCCTAATTCTCAGTATCCCTCCTTAAATTATCATCAAGCAACATTTTTCAAACTCCCCCCCCCAAGAAATGACAATATTTCAGGAAACAATAACTTCCTGCTATTATTGATACATTAATGTAATTTCTGAAAATATTTTGAGATGTATTAATTTTGAAACCACTGAAAAATGAAACCTCAAGAAAGTTACTGGTGTTACTTGGAGATCTTTCTGTCACTAAAATACTTAAAATTTTCATGTAAAGTTGGAAGAAATATATGTTGTTAATTCTCATTTAAATTATTTATTATTATCTTTGTCTAATGTTGCCTTATTTAAACTGCAAGTGAACTGTACTGATGATGATGTGTATCATTTTAAGGGAAATATAAGTTAAGACATATGTTTAAGTAATCCTCAATAATTTCTTACATTTATATGAAAATACTCAAAGTGAAAAAGATTATGCTAATCTTGTTGCAAATAATGTATGTGAAAATCAATAAAAAAATCAATAAAAAATCAATAAAAAATAAAAAATTTATCAATAAAAAAATTATGTGATCTAACTGCAGTGAAAATCACAACTGTCAAACCTTTACCCCAATCGCTCCACAGGATTAAAACAAAGAATTTCTGAGCTGTAAATACTACTAGAGTCATTGTGCATCACTTTTTTGCCTGCTTGCTCTGCTTAGTAAAGACACATTTCTTTGATAAGTTTCCTTTTCCAATATCAAAAATGTAAACTGTGTAGGAATTCTAGCAATGTACCCTGACTATGAACCTCTAAAATATATATATACACACACATATACACAATTGGCCATCCAAAATGCAACATGAAGAAGGACAAGAGATATCAAAGATAAATTTATACATAGTACCAAGATTATACAAAGTACCAATGTTAATTGATTTGAAATAAAGCCTTCCTTGAGGTGATGAAGATGAAAAAAATCAGTAATGAGTACTGCTCCACATTTATCAATAACTGCTGTTACACACTGCGGCACTCAGTGAAACAGGCTTTGGATGTGATGTAAAATGTCAGTTTAGATTGCCTCCACAGGTAACAAAAGTTCATCTGGTCTACTTGCAGGTGTGGCAAGCCAAGCTAGGTATTCTCCAATCATTGACCAGACATGTTGGATGGGCAATAGATCTGAAGAATGAGCAGACCAGGGTTGCAATACAGTTGGCTGAGAAGAAAGCTTGAACACTGCATGTAATGTGCAGTCACACATTGCCCTGGCGAAACATGGCCGCAGGCAAGACCTGAATGTAAGGAAGAAGAAAAAGATGAAAAACCTCAGAAATATAGCATTGGCTGGTAAGTATACCAATAATGCATACTCTGTGTGAAGTGGAATCTGATACCATTCAACACCATTATACTGAGTGCAGGACCAGTATGATAATGCATAACACAGCAGGCGAGCACCCTTTCTCCACACTGTCTCCAAACCATTATGGTATAGCAAGAAGAATCGAGATTTATAAAAATATAGTGTCATGCAATTTGGATGCCTACTTCTGATGTACAGTGCACCTTGCAAACACAGATGCATGCGGTTTAAAATTAAAGGTTAATGAAGCAATGGGTACCTAGCAGAAAGCCTATTGTACTGTAAACAATATCAAAGTGTTCATGCAGACACCATCTGTTGTGTTACAGACTGCATTTGTTGCGATATGGTTGTGGATGTGGCAGTGTGCTGCACCAGTGCCATGCACAAAACATGACTGTTTTCACATGGAGTGGTGGAACGTGCAGCAAAACAGTTGCAAATGTGACAGTCCATCAGTCATTCTCTCTTGCATCCATCTTATTTGCATGGCTGTTGCTTGGCTACATCCAATATAATGACTGATTTCAATGAAGGATAAACTGCAATCTCTGTATGCAATAATTCTGCCTCAATCAAAGTCGGAAGCATGCTTGAATGATACTCGAGTATTTTACGAAACATACTGATGCTGCACATATGAAAAATCTCATGACAAAACAATTCACATCATTCAAAATGGAAAACTTTCCTTCCTTTATGTATCAACTGTCAGGAGTGCTGCAGTCATTTATGATGTGTGTGTGTACTATAATCAGTTGCACATTCCATCGCAGTGTACACATAATGCATGTTTTATGCTGTTTGGATGCTTCCTTCATAGTGTTGCATTTTGAATGGCCTAGCCAAATCAAATAAAAGTAATTAATCTTTAATATTATTTGAAGGATTTGTTGTAATTACATAATGTTATTTTAACATAATTATATAAATTTTGCATGCTATTTCATATATGTATACACAATATATGCACACACACATATATATTAAACAAAAAATTCTCATATTTTAGATCTTATTAGCTATATAACAGTTTATACATGATTTATCATAACAGAGTACTAGCAGATTTTAGCCAATTTGACAACTGTGTGCAGAGCTTATTCTGTTTGTTAACATTTTGAAATCAGTTGATAAAAGCCATTTAAATGCTAATTATAATACTGGCGAGTTCAGAACTGACTCTGAGATAAATTAAACTTTTATAGTTTTATTTTTTATCAGAGTGCCATACAGTTCATGTTGCTACTAAAAGTAGCATATGATTACCTCAACATACAAGGGGTAAAATTTTCCCTGCTGTTACAGACTAAGATAACATTTCTCAATATTTACGTGTAAAAATTTCTAAACTTCTCAAAATATTAGTGATCAACATTATGGTAACCTGTACATGGTTAAGGAAAATTTCGGTACAAAATGTTCCCACATGTTAGCTTTTTCATAATACTGTTACAAATTTTGGACATATGTAAACAATTTTAACGAAATTATATATGAAACTGTAGTATCTTTTGTATAGTGCAGCAAGATGTGCTTGAAAAAGTGAAGCTCTGCCAGAAACATAAGACTACAGGGGCAAGTCTACGTTGACATTGTGGTAAATAGCTATCTCGTTAAACTGGCAAGATATCGCCAAATTGGCGATGGTTTTGGCGACATTTTGGTCCAGTAGCTGTATAATTGTAAGTGGTACTGTAACTGATCCCTATATTTAACTGTAACCATATCTGGCTTTTATATGTAACTATAACTGTGTATCCCTTCCAGTAATTTTGAGAAAGAGAAAGTATTCGAAATTTCCTGGCTGCCAGGAGGAAACTACCTAAGACCAAAGAAAGCATCAATTCTCAGTTTGTAAGCTCAGAGTTGGACCTCCATGCAAGCTTCACTCTTTACATGTGTCTGGCACTGCATTCTGTTTAACGTTCTTGGTAGTTTAAAGTGCTGACTACTGACTATGCTCTGTCATACTGAGAAGAGCTGCACAAGTACTTCTGCGAAAAGTTCCAGAACTGAAATACGTTTCTTTTGGGAAAATAAATTTTATCAAGCTATTGTCGATTCTGTGTGCATTCAATTCATTACAAACCTGTATGCATGCAACAATATTCTTCTACGTGTTTTTTGTATTTGGCCTAATTTCAAAATTTGCATATTCAATGGAAAATATAGTTACTGTTCATAATTTCATCAAAAAAAATTATAAAGATCATTTTTAGAAAAACTAAACAATCCTTAGAGCTTAAAACAGATTTTCAATATCTCAAAAACTCAGTATTTTATTACAGCTTGATTATATTATTTCTTGAACACAAAATTATATCCTTAAACCAATCAAGAAAAAAAAAGTAATGTTCATTTAAAAAAATTTTTGTTAACAAGGAAAATACAGATTAAAAATTTTTCAGAGACCAGAATGCTTCATTCTAATTTTTTGCAATATTTCTCTTTGTAAGTATTTCATATATTTTTAATTAATGATGCTTAAACCAAAAAAAAAAAAATGTATCAACATCTAACATTTGAAAGTAAGTGTATTTCACAGCTGAAACAATTACAAATTTCGGTACTTATGTATTATTGCATCGACCACTGGCAGAAATTTCAGCACTGGTCATCAATCACCAATCACTACTGCAAAATTCTAAAGGCAGTGAGTCATCAATATTTGGCGCTAAATCGCGCTACTTGGCTAGTCGAATGGTTAACATGAAAGCATCCAAATGTCACAACTTTTCCTTACCCCCCACCACCACCATCACAAAAAAGGTATATTTTCATTTATAATCTAAAAGTGCATATATGAAATACCATCAGTTTAAAAGCGCATACCAAAATATCATCTTCCTTTGAAATTCAACAAATGAGTTAATTAGAATAACACAACATAAGTTAAGTATGGCATCTGAAAGGGATTTCACTACTTAGATGGCAGTAAAAATAAAATTTCAAACAATGGAAATCTTACCTTTTTTCAACGCCTTCCCGATCATCAAAATGTTCTGCTAAGTATGTGTTTCCTATCGGACGAGGTGTTACATAAGGTATTTCTTCTACTTCAACATCAGTTTCCTAATAATAATTTAAATTAAAAAACAATCATATACTTTCAAAAATACAACTTTATTTTAAGTATTAAAAATGTAATCAAAATTTTGATGTTATATTCAAAAGAAACTGCAAACCACGGTGGCCTCCAGAATTTGTAGCATCACATAAGTTCATTCAAACATGTATTCAGTATTCAAATTTTTATATAAGTTTATTCAACCAGCATGTATTATTCAGAATAATACAGAATTGCAACAAGAACAATCGGAAACAACAGAAACATTTCTAAAAAAACATGATTTATCTCAATGATTTTCATCACTGAAAGGAGAAAGAGGAAGTTACAGCAAGCATAAGCTCTGCCCTAGGAAGTACAAGAAAACAGAATTTGTAATTTTCTATTTCTATTGGTTTTGCACAATTTAGATTTAGAGCAGCACATTTTTTGTCTTCCTTTCAAAGAATATTTTAGTTGCCTTTCTTCTTACCTTTATTTTCTTCTAAAGTAAGAAGAAAATTACCAAGGAAGGAACAATACGAAAAAACATGCTGTGTCTTAAATTTATAATAAACTTTATCAGTTAAAATTTACTCTACGGTACCCCTTGGTGAATCATTTCTTTTTCGACACCAAGATTGGCACCATGAATAATACGCACCAATTTCAAGATGGTGCTGATCCTTCTGCCCGCTACACAAAACCAAAACAAGAAGTCACAGACTTACACAAACTCTGTGTCCATGCACACATAAACCTATTTTATTTTAACTTAAAAAAACATTAGAGAATTGCACAAACTAGGCATTGCGCACTGCCTTAACTTTGTCCATGTACACATTGATCTATTTTCACTTAAACAAAATCAGGAAGCTAAAACAATGTTAAAACTACCATGTTAACCAGAAAAAATTCACCGCTGTCTTAACACACAGAGACAAATAACCAAAAATACACAGAGATTAATAAGTAACCAAAAACACATATTTCCTAACATAAAAACATTAAACAAATCTTTTAACAAAAATTAACATACAAAGACAAATAAATAAATGAAATGTCAAATTTTTAACATATCTTTTTTTACGTGCATTCATTCACACTTCCCACCACCGTCTCCTCTATCCTCCACGTAAGCAATTAAATTAAATTTTTCGTTGTTTTGGCTCATCCGCTGTTAATCAACATTCATCCTCTTACCCACCTCAAATATACTCAAATGATGATACCCACAGCAAAATAATAGCAGATTCAAAATATAAGATAATAAGATAATACCACGCATGTGCAACCAAACACAGAAATTGAAAAGAATGGTAAAAACCAAAAGCCCAGGACCATACAAAAGGCTTACTATTACAAAAAAATAGTCAAAATCTAAATTTATTACAACATGTTTGGCGATATTCGCAAAAATAACCCTTTTTAATGACAAAAACTAAGAAAAAAAAACCAAAATGTTCCTTAAGGCTAGTTTCACCAACGTTATCAACATTAGAGCTACCGTAGCAGGCTTCCAGATTTCATGAGCAACCAATACCACTTGGAATTTTTTCAAACAGAAACCAAGGTGTATTGTTGTACAGTAAAGATCAATCACTTTGTCTCAAACATTGACACAGTATTTGCTAGTTTCTCACAGGCAATAGTTTTCATTAAAAATTTCAAAATTTTTCTCATGCTCAACATTAAGAACCTTTGCTGTAGAAGAGCACACTACTCTTTAACCTGTTTGGAGTTGCTCTGCAATATTGATAACATCATAGATTCCAGTTAGTCTAAAAGCACAGATCTGTTCCCATTATGAACCATGAGAATGGCCTTGCATATAAACTGACATTGTTATTAACATTTACCTTAAACTGACATTGCCTTCATTAGTTTGAATAGGAAGAAAATCCTAATTTAAGCTTTTCTACTTACTTGTACTGAGGAAACAGCAGAATTAAGTCTGAAGATAATACAGCAGGAATCAATGGTTATCCTTATACAAAAAGGCAAGCTTTTGAAAATTAAATAACATACTACAAAAACATACCACAAATTAACTATTTCTATCTCTTCTACAAAATGACACTGAGTCTATTATATTTCTACATATAGCCTGCAAACTGAAGACTATAAGATCCAGGAGCTATAGTTAAATTAGAAGTTGACACACGTTACCAATATAACACACATTTTTCATAAATAAATACACTGGTGTGCAAAACTTAGGCAACAATGGGCCCTATTCATGACATTTTTAACCACAGCGTTAAGTGGGATTTACAGAATCACGTGGTACTCTGACATCACAAGTAGTTAAATCGCAAGTATTGGTTTCTCATCAAAGCTAGCGTTAAATTTTACAGTTAAATTGACGAGATGACTGTTAAAGTAAGGACAGGTCTGACCCTTCGTGTTAAATAAACAGATGGTTATAATTCCGGCAATAAACATGGACGAAGGTTTTACATCAGTTTTAGCTGAAGCATATTTGGATGAAATCAGTCGAATTTCTCTGCGTTGGCAGCGAATTTTCCATGATCGAAGCAATGCATTCGATTTACATACAATATAGACAATGTATAATAAATTAGCGTCAAGATTAATGAATTACGGGCCCAGGAGAATGTCGTTGGTGAGGTAAGTTCAGCTTCATATTTTTCCATACATTGTTAGAAAAATTACTCTTCGTATTTCTTCAAAATGTGTATTTTTATTTTACTGCCACTTATTGACGATCAACTGATTTTATAAATACAAAATCAATTGTGAAATGTGCATGTGTTTGTGCAGTAAAAGATCGCCAATACTGTTTGTGATGTTTCTTTTATTATCACAAATAGTTTATAATGTGTGTAAAATTGTATCCTACATTTCATGTAAACTTTGTGCTGGGTTATCACAAAGGTTAAAAATGTGATGTGCCTTATTTTTATTTAACTTTACTGTATGACTGGTAATTTAAAGTAGCATTCTATTTTGATTCTAATATATTGTCGCCAAATCTGCTAGTTGGCGCCAGTGTTAAAAACTTGATAGTGTGATCTAAATTATAAATAATTTTGTTTTTTCTTTACTGTAAGATAAATATATTCTGTATTTTTTTAGGAATTTCGAAGAAGTATTAGTTTAAATATTCAACAAATTGTTTTGAGCCCATTATCATGCTTTATCTAGTAGTAAATCTTCATGTTGTACTTTTAAGTATACTCACTTTAAATTTATTTAAATGTGTGAACAGGAAATGTGTTTTAAGTAGCTTTACAAAATTAATTCTATATTTGTATAAAAATTAAAATTTATCAGAAAATTGCATTCTTAAAAGTGTGATTAAATTCATTTAATACATGTAACTGCTGTTAAATACTAGTGCTTTAGATTTTAATGTTAAATTACATGCATGCTTTTGTTAAATTTGCAAGTACCGTAATTTTGCACGTATAGTCCGCAGACACGATTTTATATAAAAAAAATTTCAAAAATCGTCAGAAAGTCCGCACCACTGGATAGTCCGCGGACTATATGTCCGAAATTACGTTTTTTTAATACGGCAATATTAATGTATTTTAGAAACAAAGAACTAAGTATAAATAGAAAAAAGTACTTACTTACTAATATACCTTCAGAAATAAAACGCTAAATACAAATAAAAAAGCAGTGCTTACTAATTAATAATATATTAATTAACCACACATTCTACTACATTCACGAAAACCTTCAAAGTCCGATTCATCGGTATCAGAATTAAACAGTTCTAATATATTTTCGGGAAGAGTGTCCGAAAGTTCATTTTGAGCATCACTATCTTGTTTGTCAATGATTTCCTCGCTTTCACTAACAATCCTGGCTTTTATAAATCCTGATCGGATGGTTGACACTTTAACACTTTTCCAGGATTTATCGACCCATTCGGCTACTTCAGTGTATGAAGCGCGTCTCATATTTCCTCCTTCTGTGAAAGTATGTAAACCTTCCAACATACAGATCTTCCAGCAAGCACTAAGTGGGACTTGAAACTTTTGTTCACGCTAATATCCAGAGGTTGCATGATTTTTGTTAAACCTCCTGGAATAACGCTAAGTTCAGCACCGATGTTTTTTTTTTATCTTCCGCCTTTACACTGTCTTTTATGTGTGCCCTCATGGAATCCATAATTAGTACTCCTTTGGATTTGAAAAAGACACCTTCTCTCTTCTTCCAAACTTCTTGAAACCAATCGAGCATAATGTCCTCGTTGCACCAACCCTTTTCATTGCACCGTATCACAACTCTTCGAGGAAAATTTTCCTTGGGAATTATTTTCTCTTAAAGATTAAGAGCGGCTTCAACTTCGTGCCGTCAGAACAGCAGGCGAGCATCACTGTAAATTTAATCTTTTCTTAAACAGTTGTTGTTATTGATATTGTTTTCACTCCACAAGTATTGACGGTGCGATTCGGTGGACAATCAAATGTTAATGGACCTTTGTCTATATTTATAATACTTTTTAGGGAATACTTCCCTTCTGCAATTACTTTCCCTGTAAACTGAAGGAAAGAAGCTTTTTTTTCATCTACATCGTCCGGAACAGCCTGACACATTGTCGTTCTGCTGCGAACTCTCAAGTTTTTACGACGCATGAAGCGGTAAACACAATTTATTCCTCCCTTGAAATCCGTTATCTGCATCTCTTCTGCCATGGACTTCGCTCGGAGATGGATTTTAACTGTTGAAATGGAGCGTCCAGCATTTCTTTGGTCGAGAACCCATCGCAGTAAATTTTCCTCTAAAGTTGTCCATTTTACTTTTCCATGCCGATTGGATCACTTTCTTTCCATGCTTTTTGACACATCCTTTTGTTTGCGCCAATTTCTCACCGCTTTATCATCCACTTCAAAATAACGGCCCGCTTCTCTATTTCCATCTTTTTCAGCTTTCTCAACTACCTTGAGTTTAAACTCGGCAGTAAAACTCCAGCGATGTTTCATCAACGTTATCAAAGATGAAAGACAAAATACGAAAACAAAATACTATGCAACGTACTATCTTCGTGATA